TATTTCTTACTATACTGCAGGGTCGTTATTCACATTTTTTCATGGGATGCAAAACGAATATTGAAAATGTAATAGCAATGCCGCTCGCATAAAGGAAAAACATTAACACATTTTCATATTAAATCCAATTTTTCAGTTGAAAAATATTAATATCGATTATTGATAATGCCTAACATGTTCAAAAATCTATCTCAGTATATCTTAATGTAGGTATTCTACATAAGCATAAATGAATCGGGTATGAAGAAAGCTACTTGTTAATACTATTGGTATATATTTAACAAACTACACTCAACAGTGTACAGTTATAGAACGTTGTAGTATTTTAATAATAATAATAAAAAACAAATTCTCTATTCCATTACAATACAATATTACCAATACATGAGGAATCTAGTTTCAAAGTGTACAATGTCCCACGTACACTTAATTTTCAGAAATTCAAGAAAACGAATAACTTAATCAGAAAATGTTTTTTCTCCATAGTTATTGGTTTAACCTTTTCGTTGTTATGAAAAGATGATTTACCATTTTTTTGTTTAAAAGGAAAAGATTCTGTCTTGGCTTTGACAAAATTTTGGTTGAAGATTGTATGAAGCTAACAATGCAAGATGCAGTAATAATTATTATCATTTACTTTTATCGACGGTACTTGAGAGTAACATAACAATAATAAAACGCATGGAATATACTTGTCAAAGGAGATTGTACGTTTTGAAACTAAATGTAATTTTTAAGTTTAAAAATACACTGGATTTTGAACATTTTCCTTGAAAATAGTGAGTTATACGAATTCAGCGCTTAAAATTACAGATGAAACGACATCTGTTTCATTTTTCATGAAAATTGGAGATTGTACACTTTGAAACTAGACCCCTAACATTTTCTCTTGTATTATTTATGCTGTGTTTAAAAAAAAAAAAAAACGGGCAATAACGAAATCGGTGTTAATCTACAAAGATATTAATTTTTGGTTTCATATCCATCTATGTGACTGTCGTTCAACCACTGTGTTAAAACACTTTTGTAAAATGTATTAAAAAACTATTGTATTAGCTGCGTATCCCGCGAATGACGTCACTGCTATACACCGATAGTCTAGCGATGGAAATTATGTGATATTTTGTTGAAAAAATAATACTTGCGTATAAAAAATATATTCGTATCATACTAGTTGTTCTAAAATCAAACGATTATAAACGCAATAGTTATACGGCCGTCGATTTTATTTGCAACCGTAACAATCGAGTGATTATTATCATTATTGTTACTATTATTACAATTATTGTTATTATTATTATTGTTATTATTATTTTTATAGTGCTGTGTGTGACGTAATAAAACGTGGCTACACCTGTACACGTTCGTGGCACCATTATTCTTAAAATAAAATATATTTTTTAGTCCAAAACATATTAAATGAATCTATTTATTTATTATTATTATTTTTTTTTTTCTACTTGAAACAACTTGCCAGACATCATTAACCTTGTAAATCCAAGCCAAATACCGAAATACATAATTTTAAACTAGGTATTTTATTTTGTTTTAGTTAATGATAATCGTCAAATAAATTATATAAAACAAAACTCTGTTTAGTCGGGATGCATGTAAATAGCCGGTCGTTAAAACTTGTTAAAAAAATATCTTGAATAATTTTCGGATTACGAGTGAAGCGAAAAATATATTGATTTTGATGGGCGAACTTTTATCATCTTCTTGTAAACAACTTTTCTACCGGACAAATTGCGTCGACTTTAGAGGTGATGTGTTTGGTAGCGAATTTCGTCTGGACTAATGTAATGAGAGTGGGGAGGCGGGGGGGGGGTTTATTTCAAAGTGCTGTAGAATAAAGTTAGCTCGCAACGGATCAGCGAATTGATTTGTACAGGGAGTAGGAGTGCAGATTCGATTTGCCCGCACTTAACGATGTATGCCTACCGCCTACCGCTAGCATATACCGTTTTTGGACCGACCCGATAAATGTGTACGACACGCGGTAGTGTCTTAAAGTCGGCGAAATCGGCGAACGCCGGAGAGTCGGAGGATAAGTTTCGTATCTCGCACACCCGTCCCGGTACTGTTAGCCGACGAGTGATGTCCTCAAGAAAAAAAAAAAACGAGAACGTTTTTCTGCGCATCGCTCGAACAGTTCGATTTAAATTTAATATCGACAAGATAAACAATCGCATAACGTATTGTGTAAATATACTCGGGCGAAATGTATTCGCCTTTAAGTAGGCTCATAATACGTTGTACAACTCGTTTAATAGTATCGTAAAATATTTACAAAGAATAAAACAAACACTCGAAAACGGCACGGGAAACATTTACGCGTTCAAACTGACGTTTATGTTTATCTTACACACTCGTGTGGTTTTGTTTACTGACACGCGTATCTAGTAACAGACGGACTGTGTATACGGTTTGCTCGCTATCATGTCATTATAAGTCGTGATCCGAGCGTAGTCAATCATTTCTTTTTTTTTTTTTTTAAATCAAAATAATATTACAGTAACAGTCTCGCAACTGATGTTGACAATGAACGTTAACTATATGTGTGATGTTCAAATTTTAAGACATTTATATCATACATGGATACGTTTTAGATCTTACTGATAATATTATTTTGAAAGACCGGAAATATTTGATTTTGATAGAGTTCAATTTCTCTCGGTATCTATCTGAGTTTTTATACTATCGTTTTGTACTATCATTCGTTACGGGATAATTTTCAAATTAAATTTTTGTGACAATTATTCGGACAGTCGAACAGATTATGGACAATAAACAGAAACAACGGAAGAACAAAAATGTTTTTTTTAACGGATCACTAATCTATAAATATGTAAAAGCCGTGATCCGTCTGTTACGTTTTTTTTTTCTTTATTACATACATTCGTATAATTATCTATTATCAATATTTTTTTTTATTTTATTCTTACTAGTTTTCTTATCGGACACCATTATCAGCCATCGATTATCTCAGTGATCGTAATGGTAATTACTTATTAGTCTGGGAGATAGTGGGGATGAAGCAGGGTGCAAGGAGTCGAACGGTTGGAAGAGAAGAAAAATGTTATTCAATGGGATTAGGAATGAAGGTGGCAGTAATGCTATACGTGATATCGGTAAGAGATAATATGTTTGATGAAAACGTGAAAAACGGACGATGAATCTGATATAGACCAGAGATGTAGAAAAGACTAATACATTTGATATCGATTTTCAGATGACAACCGTTATTTAACTCTAAGGTTTAAATTTATAGTTTAATTTACTTGCTTACTTGTTATAAACTTATAAATGACTTAAATGTTTCAACTTTAATGCATATCAATAGTTAAAGAAAAATAATCTCTATTCTAATCCGGTTTAAAAAGAGTTTGCTATTTGAAAATTTCTTTCGCGTTCTTATGAAACCTAAATATTTTATCTACTTAAATCGGAAAATAGTATGCACGAAATGCCGTGACTTTTTACGATTTTTATCTGACTTTGAACTTTTTGAACTTTATTCGAACGGATTTTTTATATTTATATTATGTCATAATAAAAAATTATTCAAGCTTTGTAAAACCCTGTAAATGTTCAAAATGCTCAAATTCTTGAGAATTTTTGAAAAGCGAACATAATCTTATTCACGTAAAATTTAATAAAAAATTTAAAAATACGAATAATATGTTTTGAACATTTTACCACATTTAGAAACGGTTAATATAAAATATATTCGATGAAAATTTCAGTTCTCCTTGTGATTATTTTTAACCAAATTACAACAACAACAAAAAAACAAAATCGACAAATGAGACCGCCCCAACGCACCGCAACTAGACAAATTTGTCTACTGAAAACCAACGTTCCCAAAATCAAGTTGATTATAATCGGGGCAAGATTTCAGGTGGAAATCCAGGGATTTCGTACATTTATATGATATTTTCAACTCGGCAAATCGAAAAACACAAAACAATATTGATTAACGTTTACAAATATCAGTATTCGACAGACAAGCTGATAATATATCTTGTACCCGTGTTTCGGACAAATTATTATTTGAAAATCCGTTTCAGTTATTTCAATCGAATAAGTTATTGTGAGTTATTAAACTCGTCAATGTAACGTAAAAACACACACGATGAAACTCTGATTTTATTTGAGTCGTCAATCGCGGCTTATACTCGTGCGGCGCTTTGAATCGATTTAAAATAAATGAGAATTCGAATTTATTATCGCTGTTTTATTTTATTTTTTAGAGTATATTTTGGTAATTTTTACATTTTTACTGCATAACGCACACATATTTAATGGGTTTTAGTTTTCGGGGCACGCTTCTGCGGTCGGCCAAACAACTCGTTTGGTAAAACAAAAATATGTAACCCTTTCCGTCCCCCCCCCGTTCCCTAAAGAGTTAGCTCCTAATTACGCGGCGCAAAACGTCGCCGACGCTCAGAATCTAAAACGTTGTTATCGCAGACGCGATGGTTTCGGTAACCTGCGGCCGCCCAGAGAAAATAATATTTTGGCATCAAACTCGGACGTGTGTTTATATATATTTTTTATGCATACATATAGATATATATGTACACACATATTGCCATTGCAACGCGTACGAGTAAGCACAACGCGTATTTCGTTTCTCTCGCGGGCCACCACCGGCTGCTGGGTTTAAAAATAATTTATTTCGAAGAGTCACGTTGTCCGATCTTCTTTCGTTCCTCGGCCGCGATTTTTGGCAGTTCAGTGCGCCCGCGGTCACCGTCACACTCGTTGGGCGGCGTTTTTCTCATCGCGGCCGGCACGTAATCAGTAGTGACGGCGCGCGTGCGATATAACAATAGTAATAATCGAGGTTCGACGTTTTACCCACCCTGTGCGAAATCCGAAAGTTCCGGTTAGTAGAAAAAAAAACAAACAAAAAACGACGATGATAGTGCGTCGGTGATCGAATAGGATATTTTATAAAAAAAAAAAAAACAAGAAAAAAAAAAAAACCGAAAACGATGTCGTGTTACTGTCCAAATTGGATGAACGAGGCGCCGCTGGAAGTGCCCATCAACCTCAATCACCAATCGGATTTGCTGAAGGTTCGTAATCCGTACCGAAATCTATAACACGTAGTCCACGCAATACATTTTGTATAGCGTCCCATTTTGTTAATCATAAAAACATTAAAATGTTATGATATCATCGTACCCACTATCCCTGGGTATTGATTGCAATACCCCCGGTGCAGACGGGGACTACACCTACTATTATTATCGTTAAACTTTTACGGTCGCTCGTAAAACGTATAAATATATTATTATTATTATTATTATTTTTTTTTTTTTTGTCAACGAAACGGTATCGTTAAAACGGCTGGCACGTCCCGTCGCGCGCTTTCGCACAATAGCATTTCGCTATAGGTACACGTTTTCGAAGACTGCACAAAATCGATTTGTTTTTTACTCTATTGCGTTATATATATATATATATATAAGAAAAAAAAAAAAAAAAAAACAACACATTATACAGACTATGCCTATACCACCGCGGTCTACGTTCGTATTAGAGTCGTGAGTTTAAAAATAAATCTAGACGTTACGTGGACTATTAATGACGACTACTAATAGTTGACAATACTCGCGTATATCGGGACAAGAAGCCCCGGCTATTTCGGGATAGGACACGTTACTATACCAGCCGTCACGCGGTCGTTATTATAACTTGCTGGCCGACAACAGTTTTTGACATAATATTATTAACTACTAGATCAGAGTTGACACTGAAGGTTAGGTGATTGCATAATTGCCCCTTTAGATAATTGCTTCGGAATCATCCGGACTCAAATTAAGAGTGTTTTAATTTTCAAGTGCAATTTATGAAAACGACACTGGATTTGCGGCGCGAAATCGCGTCGCATAAGTTTGATGGGAAAAACGTTTTCGTTTGGTCAACCGATTTGCATTTTACACGGACAATAACGTTACGAGACAGTTCAATCGTATTATTGGAAAGTTGGAAAGACTTTACAGACCGAGAGAGATTTCGATTTTTATAACAAACCTTTTAGTGGGACTCGACATTTAAACAGGGATATTTTGCTTTTAAGTTTTATATTATTGTTATTATTAAAGACTAAAGGACTACAACGGTTTTTGTTTTTTCGTTTTGATGTGTATTGAAAAAAAAAAAAATTGATTTTTCTTTATCCGCACAGACAAACACCATAAAGTTTGAATTTTTATCCAATATTATACAAGTAATAATGCGATTATTTATTTACGAGTGTTAACCTTTTTAATAATTTTGTTTTTACTTTATCATTTCATTATATTTAGGTTATTCAATTTAGTTTTTGCTTGGTCGTGTTTTTCTAAAGATATATGTATAATAAAAGGAAAAACGAATCCGTTCGGAAAAACTGAAACCTCAATTTATTTATAAATTAATGTATTTTTTTTTTTTGAACATACGTGTATTATATTATAAATTGAATTTCACATCGTACAAAAATCATCAATACAGTTGTCATCAATTAAAAGTTTGCCAAGAATTTAAAAATAATAGGACAATCGAATTAAAAATGAACACTTGCACACTATTGGCAAGGGCAAAGGCTATCTCTTTTTATTTTAAAACGAGTTTTATATTTGTAAAAAAAAAAAAAGGGGGGAAAAACTGTTACATAGGTAATGAAATATTTACTAAACTTACTAACTCGAGTATACATTTTTTTAAATTTTACTCCGAAATTCTACTATAACAATTTTAATGCTATAATTTATATTTAGGGGCCGGAAATCGTGCACGTTTCAAAATTTTATAAAGAAGGCGTTGACGGAAAGTTTCTCAGCAACGTGGCATCTGACGCTCGTACGTTGTACGAAACGTTTCGGAAAGGCGCGAAAATTTCAAGTCAGTATAATTTTGCAATACATAATTAATATTCTTTTACGCCAAACAGATAATATTTTTAATGATATTGTTTCGTATCGATGCGATTAACATAATATATTATTAATTTTCAGATAACGGAAAGTGTCTGGGATGGCGTGAAAACATCAGCAAACCATTTCAATGGATCCATTACAACGAGACATTGTTGCGAGCCCGGAATTTCGGTTCGGGTCTAATGGGCCTGAGTTTACCGAGAGGCGCCAATCAGGTTTTCATCGGGATATATAGCCTTAACTGTCCCGAATGGATCTTAACAGAACAAGCAGCTTATTGTTTCTCCATGGTCCTGGTGCCACTTTACGATACGCTGGGTTCCGAAGCGTGTGCCTTCATCATAAACCAAGGTTTGATATTCAATAAATAGATAGTTTGAATATTATTAAATGCGACAATTGGAAATTTCGTCACATTTACAGACGTTTTCTATTTTATTTATTCAACATTCCTACTTTCTGATAACACATAATTGTCTGTTTAACAGTAAAGTTGTCCAAACACCACCTAGATCACATAAATAAAAAAGAAATAAAACAAAAGCCTTACGATAAAACTATGCAAATGATATGCATTTGCTTAATACTGGTAGCTATTAAAATTAAATACGGAGTTAAGGTTAATGGAATGGGAGGGGTGAAACATGATGACATTTATAAGGAAATAAGAATACAGATGTGAAAAGTAACTGGAGAACGGGTTTAACGATCATTAATTAAATTAAATTATAAAAATTAATAATTAAAAGTGTGTAGAGAACTCGCTCGCTTGCGTGATCGCGTTGGCATCCCACGTTGATTGTTGTTTGGCTGGGTTTCTACTTTATAAAACTGGATATCAATACAATGACCGTGTGACAAGACGTTAATCTCTGACTGGCCTATGCTCAAATCTAGAGAAAAGAATCAAGCAAGGAAATTATGACTTGTTGGAAATCCAGTAAGCGATTGCGCAGCGAAGCCATTACGCCTATCACAGCTCCCAACAGACAATCCACAGCAAAAAAAAAAGCATCGCTTGTGGTGGGTTTAATAGAAAGAAATAAAATAAGATAATATTGTCGTTATCGAATTGTCATCGAGAGTATTGATCATGATCGTTTTTGCTCGTGGTCCATTATATGAAATGCGTGTAATTTGCGTGTTAATTTAGCGGAAATATCTGTGGTGGTCGTGGACACGGACGAAAAATGCAACCAGCTGTTGGACAGATCCCCGAAATGTCTTCGACGAATAATATCCATCCGTGGCGTACGGCCGTCCACCAATCAGAAAGCCCGGAACCGTGGCGTGGAAATACTGACTTTCGATGAAGTGGAAAAAGCCGGGGCATCGAAAACATTTTCGGAACAGGTAGAAATATAATTAATAATAATAATTGGGTACACTATACTGTGGTGGGTCGAATATTTTGTTTTTAAATAAAAGTTGTGGCCTAACGTTTTGTACAAATTATGTTTAAACACTTATTATGGAAAAAATTCCTTAGGTACGTTATTAGTAGAGTTTAGTTCCAAAAACCTGGTATAGTGGAAGAGATTGGTAAAATAAAATTACAATTTTAAATTTAATAGAATTGTTTTAATTAAGAGAAAAGAGGACATTTTATTTTGACGCATCATACGAATATCAATTATGCTATTATTATTATATCAATATGTTTTTTGACCCAGACGCTAGTCCAATGAGGTCCCCTCCTATGTCTCTCCCCTTAAATCCATCACCAATTGCAGTGTTCACGTACTGACAAACATTTACACACGGTTTTACTTTCCGACGCAGCCACCGAAACCCACCGATTTGTGTACGATATGCTACACTTCGGGCACCACGGGATCACCCAAGGGAGTGATGCTTACCCATGGCAACGTAGTGGCGGCCGTCAGCGCCGTCCTGGTGCAGTTATCTCATTACAGGCCAAACGTCGGGGACGTGATGATCTCGTACTTGCCGTTGGCTCACATGTTGGAAAGATGTTGCGAAGTAGGTACTTACATTAAATTAAAAACATCCGTTTTATTAAAAACGACCGTAAAAATATTTAAAAAAATATATCGCCCATACGCGATTTCGATAAATCATAAATAAAACCCGCCTTTACATGTATGCATTTTGTAGAACGGTATGTACCTGGTCGGCGGCGCGGTGGGCTTTTACTGCGGCAACATCAAATTCCTGTTCGAAGACATGAGAGTGCTCAGGCCCACCATAATGCCAATAGTACCGCGGTTGTTGAACAGAATCTACGAGAAAGAGATGGCCGCGATAGTGCCGCGGTTTTTCAAACGCGTCATGTACAACATGGCGCTCCGGTCCAAAGAAAAGGAAATTAAAAAGTTTGGTTTGTCTCATAATACTGCTCGTATTGCCGTTTAACGCGTCCCAATCATTTCACGCGCGGCACTCGTGTTTTTAGAGGTATCGTCCGGAAAAACAGCATTTGGGATCGGCTGGTTTTCAGCGCCTTACAGAACAACATGGGAGGACAGTTGCGGCTGATGATAACGGGATCCGCTCCGCTGGCCGGTAACGTTTTGACGTTCATGAGATGCGCGCTCGGGTGTATAGTGAGTCGATTAAACAAAAAAAAACAAAAAAAAAAATAACACTCGTTGAAATATTGTGTGTGTGTGCGTGCGCGTGTGTTTTTTCGACGTCCGGACAGGTGGTAGAAGGGTACGGTCAAACGGAATGTTCGGCTCCCATCACGTTATCGATCCAAGGCGATATGAACACGGAACACGTAGGACCACCCGTCGCTTGCAACCTGGTCAAATTGGCCGACGTGCCGGAAATGGAATATTTCGTGACGTCCAATCAAGGCGAAATCTGCGTAAAAGGATCGAACATTTTCCAAGGGTATTTCAAGGACCCCGATGCCGTTTCGTTCGACGAACACGGCTGGCATCACACCGGCGACATCGGCATGTGGCTTCCCGTGAGTGAACACAATACACGGGTTGATTTTTTAAGCACGCTCACCCCGTTTTCGCGGTTAAATTAGATGCATTCAAATTACGATTTTTTGGAATTATCAAGTGTAGTGAAATACGATATTTTCGCATACTTCGATTTTTTACAACATTCTCTGAGGAGTATTCTGCGGCGATACTGATTTTGGTTTTTCAAACGAGAGCTAGTCAATCGTTTTTTGAAAATTTTGACGTGTTGTAATTGAAATTTAAGCGAACGGTTTTCGAGTTATTCTATTTTCAATATTAAAAATACCAGCATATATAATAGGAAAAAATCGGGGTTTTTCGATAACTGCGCAACTAAAAACAAGAAATCGCCTGTATACGACTCTTACGAAACAATAGGTATCCAATACCCATAATGTTCCTTAATAATTTAAGTAGAATAACTCAAAAACTTTTCGTACAAATTCCAATTGCAATAACGTTGCTTTCGGAATTCCACGTGTCTAGATATTTTTATATGTCATAGCACACACGATAGTAATTTACTTTATTATTTATTGATAAATAAATACATTTGAAACTTATGCATGATCACATAATACGTTTCAGAACGGCACGCTTAAAATTATCGATCGCAAGAGGCATATATTTAAACTGTCCCAAGGTGAATACATCGTTCCTGAAAAAATCGAATCCATTTATCACAAGAGTCAATACGTAAATCAAGTGTTTGTCTACGGCGAGTCCTTAAAGGTAATAATACTCATTATATACATGGTTTATTATTATTATTAAATTATAGTTTTTATAAATTATTATTTCTACAGTAATACGCTTAAAAAATAATAACAATGCGACTATACATCAAATACGAATACGTATTATAAGGACTTATTATTATAGGACTTACCATAATTCGTATTTCATAGTAAAAACAAAAAAAAAAACAAATTTAGTGTAATGTAGAATTTTTTTTATAAGAATTTTTACATCAAATTTCGACAAACATCGTAAATATTACGGCTTTTCAAAACATGTATAACAAACTCCGTTCAGAATCGTTTTTCGTTAGGTAGCAATGACTAATCGTTGCGTACATCTATATATTAAACTCCCCTCTTATCCTACCTTCCCAACTTCTCACCTACAACAGTGGCCCAATTATCGCGCGGAGTAGGTTCGTCTGTTTAATCACATAAATATCATGTTGTCCGATAATAAAATTATTGTTACACGGTGGTAAAATGGAAGAAACAAGACGGATAAAAAACAATTGAAGATTAAAGAAAGTTAAGAAGTTAAGAAAATTAAAATATGGTTAATACATTTATATAGTATATTGTATTGAATACAAAATAACGCTATAAAATATTCTGCGCTGGTGTCGAATATAAAATAATGAATTTCTAAAAAATGTTGAATTACTCGCGAAACATGTTTTATTTCATGCAATTTAGTTACAAAATAAATTTGAGATAACGTTTCGGAAACACCAGTATGTGTTGTTCGATTTTTAATACACGCGTTTTTAGCTAACAAAACATATTTCATTTCTATTTCCATAAAAACAATTTCATGAAACAAATTTTCTTCGTACGCGACCAGCTTAAGTTTGCGGTTTTGTAGGTAGGAGAAGAATAGTGGAGCACAATTAAAACACCGCGCACTACACGAATTCCACTTCAGAGCATCATTTATGTTAAGATTGGTTAGGAGGAGGACAACTACTGAACTCCTCTTCCAAGTGGTCCTTACGGATTTTGCTCCATCACTGCTTTAATTATTCCGTTCTGGTTTCTCTAAGTATGTCCTGACCGCGAAGTCTTCGTTTTCTCATAGCGCCATTTGTACTGTGGCATAATGACTTAACTCTTACTAAACTTAAAAGTTGAATAACTCGTCAACGGTTTGACGGAAATTAAAAATTTCAACATCAATATTTTATTTGTTCTAAAACTTTATTTATTTGCGGAACTATTAATATAGATTACTCTTCGATAATCAAAAGTGGTTAGCAGTTTCAACCCTAAAAATAAGGATCATAAAAAATAATGGTAATGGAACATTTTATAGAGTCACGTGTTTCATGCATAAATATTCTATAAAAACAAAATTCGAAAAAAGTTAACACTTACCGATACCACGGTTTTATAAACGTAAAATGTATGTTGACCACCTTGTACATGACGCCTTAATGAATTTTCAAGAGATAGAAACTATTTTGACGTGCATCTGTAAAACAATGACATCCGTACGAGATAATTATCACACATTATAACATTAAAAAATGCGTTGGTACGTGTGTTTACTCGTTTAATTCGTCATAGTACAAATGGCTAATATCCAACTCGGTAAAAACGTATAGGTACCCTACCCGAACGTCATGTCTACGCACGAAATAATATTAATGACTATTTAAAGTGGATAACTGTAACTACTGGCCTATTATTATTATTATGTATATTGTCAGCAATGACGTGGGAACGTTATTTTTTTTAGGGGGAAAAACAAAATATTCGTCTCTGTGACGCATATAAAATTACAATAGTTATAATTATAATTAGGTATACCTGTTGAATATTTTAAAAATATTGAAATTCAACATCAAATGCGATAATAAGTGGCATCCAGAACCATCCCGTCGCACATCTAAATCTTCAGCTATTTCCGGTATCCAATGCTCGTGCTTTCTAATATAATCCTCCTTCTCGTTTTTTTTGACATTTTCCTAGACTACGCCATAGGACTTCATTTTCGGTTTTACGAATGGCCTTTTTTGTCCGTCGGATCTCTTACCAGCACTGTACGAATCAATGGATTTTAGCTTCGCCAGGCGTGACCTGTATGATCTGATCTCTTACACCACATAGTTTCTGAAACAGTGATACTAGATCCTGGTTCTTCCTCATTGTCCATTCATCAGTGTCAGTAGGTATATTTCACAGCGCCAAAATGAATCTTCCGAATTCTCCTTTTAAATATTGTTTTAGAAAAATGTTACAATACAATAGGTTTTTTAACGACCGTCAAAATGTGTTCATAAGTTATTATTTATTGTGTTAAACTAAATGCGCGTTAAAACTTTTAGATTAGTTTGTAATTACCTATAGTTTGCAACTTTTTTATTTTATAAATTAATCTAACTTATATACATATACTTATATTAAAACTTTCGGGTGATTAATACCATTATTTCAAGTTCAACAGCTATGTATAACCGCTATCATATTGTTTTATATTTTAATAACGACACCTGTAGGTATCAAAACGATTTTTCCGAATTTTAATTGAGTTTGTATAACCTGTGATCGAAAAAAAAAAAAACAATTTTTATTTTGGATTTTAGAACATACTTTGTTTTACGATTCTATCACCGTAACTAGGTGTTCAATATTATGCGAATACATATTTACAGTTTGTTGTGCGCCACCCGTTACCCAAACCTCCAATTTCGGTAAATATTTTCTGTTTACGGTTTCAGTCGTGCATCATAGCCATCGTGGTGCCCGCTGTGGACGTCATCAAGTCCTGGGCACAGGAGAACGGCATATCCGGTACGCTGTCGGTCCTGTGCGCCAACCCCGAAGTCAAGAAGCTCATCGTGGATGACATGACGGCTTGGGGCAAGGACGGCGGTCTCAAGTCGTTTGAACAGGTATATGTTTGTGATTTTCGAAAACAATAATGGCATACGTAGCATTTATTTGGTGAGTACGGGGAAAAGTGCGGTTAGCGCTCGAGAACTCGAAATCTGAAACGTATTGTAGTAAATCCGGATTTTGGATTCTTGATTATTCAACAATAAAACCGTCATAACTCTTGAGTAAACCAAACATAATACTATGTAAATATCGTAGCCACTTTGTGAAAAGTCGACTATCTCAGGGTCAGGGTTTCATACGTTGTTCTTGTAAAAATGTTTGTCAAACTAACCGGTATACTATTGTTAAAAACTGTAGCATGGAATGCAACAGCCGTTGTTACAATCAGTTATAGAGGTGACAACAAATTATCAACTATACGTTTATAATAAATCTATTTTCTCCCCTTTACGTAGTTTTTATTTTTTATAAGTCGATAAATATCTAATACAAATGACAATTTTCAATAACACAGTATAATAATTGAGTGCTGTTAACGTTACCGAAAATGTGGTTGATCGCAAAACGAAAAAATGTACATGATGTCCAACTATTTGAGTGACCATCTAATGAAAAACTATACCGTGAAATATTTGGGTATCACTCGAAGCATCAAAAACCGTTTCCTTTCTATGAAATTTCACTCGATTTCAAGAATGGACCACGGCATATACAACTCGATATGTAAAATTGAAAGACTCAAAACAAAACAAAACTTAATGCTGTCGATATTATAACTTCTACGAGAAAATTCTGTTCGCATTTGGTAAACATAAAATTACAATCGAATTTGAAGTAAATTAATTAGATTTTTTTTTTTTTTTTTATGGTACAAATTTGTTGTCGTTCGAATTTTTAGAAACAATCTTAAACGTGTTCCGATGTTTCTTCAATCCGTATTCGGCGAACCCGGGAATCAGTGCGATAGCTTAATGCGGTGTACTAAACAAGATGATATTGTTTTGATCCCTCATGTTTTTTTTTTTTTTCTATCCAGGTGAAAGACGTCTATCTTCACCCGGATCCGTTTTCCGTACAAAACGGATTGTTGACGCCCACGTTCAAAATGAAACGTCCACAGGTCCGGTCGTACTTTGCGCCGCAGATCGAAGACATGTACGCCAAGCTGAAATGAACTAAAATATTTTTAAAACCTTAACGTAATATTGTAATATTGTATAGGTACGACACACTACACTATTATTATCATTGATAGTATCGATATTATTGTACACCGTTTATAATATTATTATGATTAATAATTGTAACCTTGTATAGAGGAAAAATTTAAACATTGCAATTTTTCAATTCCAGTGCGAAATATATTCATATTATATTATATATGTTCTAATTTTTCAATCGGATCTTTCACGTGTTGAAATGAAACGCCTAACTTCTATCCAAATTAATTGTACTACAAATTATAACAATAAAGGAATTATCTAATCCTAAATTATAATCACCGCGTTACTATATTTGAATGGAATTTTTCTAAATGAATAATTTTGATTATTTAATAGAAAAACTTTATACAAATGCATTTTTTTTTTTTTTTAAATTATTAGTTTATTTTAGTGATTTGTCCAGTAACGAGTGTCGAGTGTAGATTGGACATTTTTAAATAAAATCATACCAATAAATAGTTAAACATTATTTATATGTATTTGTAAACGTTGGTTTTTTTTTTTCCACGGCCCAATAAACCTGCGTCCGCAATAGCTGTGCCAAAACGTCCCACGTCAAAATACCCTAGATAAATATTATATACCTGTTCCAATAATAATAATAAACGCACAGAATATACAAAATTTAAATAGATATATTACGAAATATTCGAACTATTATGAAAATGTTTTTTTTTCGCGTCTAACCTAGTTTATTGATTGTCCAAAATATTTATTTTAATGTTAGATTCTGCCAATCGATAATATTTAATTTCATCGCCGACGATGGTTGCCATGGGAAATATCTAAATATGAATTATTAATTAGGTGCCTATTATACAACTACGTGAACATAACACTTTTATTGAAAATATACATAATTAGTAAATAAGAAAAATTGTATTTTATATCATGTAAATACGATGAACCATCAAATGACGTTTTGCGTGGACACAGAGCGGTCTGTGTTGATAGAAAATTTCGAAAAACGCGGTTGGATTCACGTGGGCCCTGAAGATGGATGGAACTTTTATTGGACGAACGTAAACACTTGTCGCAATTTGTTTAACACCGAGACGAACAATTACACGATGACGGACAATCAGATTATCAACCATTTCCCCAATCACTATGAACTTTGCCGAAAAGATTTGCTTATGAGGTTATCGATATTATAGTATAGTATTCAAGTGTTCATTATTATACTGGAATTTACTATTGAAAATGATTTAAGTTTAGTTTTACTAGTGCATGCATTATTTGGTTATCATATGGTATTGATTAGTAGTGTAATTCGAATAAAAAACATCAACAATCTTCGTTAACAAATTCCTTTGTACTTTTTTTAATCGTTTTCTATACGTAAAAAAAAAAAAATTAACAATTTAGGTCTATATAAAAATATGCTTGCATGTTAGAGGTAAACAGATAAAAATGTAATATTATTTTAGATTCTGAGTGGAACGAGGAATGTATGGGTTTTATAAATATATTTATTTTATTAATTTTTTTTATGCGAACACTTTTTCTACCAGACAGCATACTCCGATTATCAAGTATGGTGCCTTTTCCGAAAGGAAATGTTTTCTGGGCAGTAGTTTAAAAAAATGTCATTTTTTTAAATTCTCATTAATATTTGAGATAATGAAGAAAACCTCGGTCTTTAGGTTAAAACAGATTGAACGATTAAAAATAAGGTTATCATTTGAAAACGTTTTTATTAATTTTTTTTTATTATTAAATTCGTATTATTTTAATCTTTTTTAAACAAACATTGTCGTGGAAACGAACAATGGTGTAATCATTTTACTATAATATGATATATACCATATATTGTATTGCTGACCAAGCAACACGATCAACTGAACTCCGCTCCGAATCGTTTTTTCGTTAACAATGGTTTATCGTTGCTTACAGATATACATTGAATTCCCGTCTGTATCCTATCTTCCAAACTTCACACCTACCTGCACCCACGTGTGAATTATGCCCGTCCTTTTTTTAAAATTTGTATTTCCGTCAAAACGGTCTCGTATGGTAAATTAATACCGTTTCAAATCAACGAGAATTTCCAGTCAGATTTGCGACTTAGTCAAAACCGTAAATACGTGGCTAAAAGTGGCCTCTAGCCGTCTGTATACCGCCATACATTTATCCTTCAGCCATCTCTATCAGATAGTCGTGTTTTCCAATTTAACCCTTCTCCTAGTTTTTCCCAATCTTTCTCAACTACGTCTTTCTGTCTCAGTTTTTCATTATTCTAAGGGATCTTTTCGCCGTGAGGTTTCTTTTCAGATTTGTAAAAAGTAACGCGTATTGTCTTCTTCAGGCGCGCTCTGTAATCGCTAACTTCTGATGGTGTGTACAATGTCCGTTTTATGATCTAGCGTTTCCGATTCCTCGTTCTTTTTTATTCTCCATTCATTGATTTCACGAAAACACAAATGTTTATATTCTTCGGTGTTAATTATTATCAAAGGCTACACCACATTAAAAACGGACATATCAATATATTAACATAAATAAAATCTTTAAATAGATAAAACTTGGAACGTTAAAATTTAAACAAAAATTTCAAAATTCAATCAACTAATTTTTGCTATTCAAGTTTTGATTTTACAAGTTTTCTCATGTTTTATTGTCACTTTAAATCTTTTGACAGAGATCGTGATCTTCACAGCTTCACTAGTCCGGAGAAACATTAAATTTTGTTCCATTTTGGATTCTCACTTCGATATTCTTTCTACCATTTTATTGACTTTTGTTTTCATCATCCTCAGTACTTAAAGTGTTCCACTCTAACGAAAAACGTTATACAATCAATCTGAAATGTTTAATTTTTACATTCAAGTAATTATTTTTTAAGTACGGACGTCTAAATTACAATAATACATTGAATAACACGATACGATGATACACAAAGTATGGATCTACTGATTACAATATAATATATTTATTCCCTTACAGAAACGTGAGACGTTACCGCCGAGAAATGCAAAAAACCAAGAGTGCGGTCGCAAAATGTATAAGTGGGAAATTCGTATATTTAGATTTCATACCCACTACGTTTGTGCTCCCTACCGATTATCACTTGTTTCTGGAGGAATACAGCAAGAACCCGAGTACTTGGATCATGAAACCGTGCGGGAAATCGCAAGGCGCCGGGATATTCCTGATTGACAAGTTGTCCCAGTTGAAAAAATGGGCCAAAGAAAAAAAATATCCGAAAAATTCGGCGATCACGAAAAACACGTACATAATATCGAGGTCGGTTTTCGTTAGGGGTATTTTTTTTTTTTTTTTTTTTAATGTATTAGGTACATCTATTCCGGAAACTGTGTTTAATTACCATTGGCAGTTTTAAAAACTAGATATATCGAAAACCCGTTGTTGATATGCGGAAAAAAGTTCGACTTGCGCCTGTACGTGTTGGTCACGTCGTTTCAGCCGCTGAAAGCTTATCAGTTTAAATTCGGGTTCTGCCGTTTTTGCAGCGTCAAATACAAGTACGACTCTCAAGTGAGCGACATCAATTGTTTATTCGCTCATTTGACGAACGTATCTGTACAAAAACAAGGTACCTACCTAAATGTGGTTATAATGAATTGATCGCGTGTTTACCCGGTCCGAGGAATAAAACCGACTCTATACATTTCGACGCAAAATAAAATAATCATAAGAAATTCTAATAATGTCAATTTCGACAATCGACTGTTATACGATAGATACGTTATTGTGAAAATTTACAAATCTAATACAAATAATTATTACAGGCAACGATTACAATTGTATACACGGCGGTAAGTGGTCTACGGAAAATCTGAAATTATATTTGGCCGGAATCCGGGGCGAAAAACTCGTTAAAAAACTGTTTGACGATATTTCCCATATAATTCTTCATTCGTTAAAGGCCGTCCGCAACGTCATGTCTCGAGACAAACATTGTTTCGAGTGTTATGGGTACGACATCATCGTGGACGAGAAACTGAAACCTTGGCTGATCGAGGTGAATTCGTCGCCGTCGCTCACGTGCACCACGGTCAGCGATCGTCTTTTGAAATCCAAACTTATCGACAGTATTCTGTCTGTTGTTTTGCCACCATCAGGTACTAGTGTATAAAACAACAATAGGATTTTATGTTTATAAATTATATTCTTTAAAGAATCGTTAAACCATCGTTCCATTATGGCTTAATCTCAGTTCCAAATCATCTACGTCTTGTTTATTATTACAAAGGTACACTGTGCACAATATAAAGGAATATATAGCTAGAGTAATCATTTTCTAGCCTGGCTACACTAACACTCCCATTAAGCTAGCAGGACAACCATAACAGACACTTATCCAACTTACCTAACTTATCCAATACGCATAATGCTACAATAAATTTGTTGTTGATTTACTGGAGTTTGTCGGATCCTTTATCGAGTTTATTGGACGTTATTTTAGTCGGTAGATTTTTTAAAAGTCGTGCTGCCAAGAGCGAACGTTTACGAAAGCGATTTTTCCCCCGAACAAATGTCGAGTTACGTTTGTTGCACATTATTGGAGAGCACTCCTCGAATTTATTAGTTTTTATTTTAGCCAATAGACCGGCTATACAGAAAATCCCACGAAAATTGTTATATATCTAGAGATAATTAAGATAATTCTGGTTTTTTTTTTCACACAGGAATAAGTACTACAAATATTTATATTTCAATTAATTTTTTTATTTTTAAAAAATTTGATGATAAATCGTTAACCATTTTATTCGTCTAAAAACTTTGGCTTATCAACTTTAAATTTTCATTAAATTTGTGTTTTTTAAAATTTTTTTAAAGTTCCGAGAAAAAAAAATTGCAATTAATTAGCCATAGTAATAATAATTAGATTAATTAATTAATAAGTATGAATATATAAATAAATAATTAATAAGATAATGCAATTAGTTGTAATTGCATTATTATAGGTACTTTTCTTTGAACAATCTGTTTAAATTACAAATTCAATGAAAATTAAAATTTGAAGGAAAATATTTTCAGAAAAATAAATTTTACAAAGTGATTACCTTCAAAGTTTTCGAAAATAATAAAATAAAAACGTAATTTGTAAAACTTTTTCGAACTTTTTTCCCCTTTTTCAATTAAGGTTTTCTCAGGGTGCCCTTGCGATTCATTAAAATCAAAAACCTATTCTGACCAGAGTATAGTATTAGTCGCGGTGTTTATCCCACGGTATAGTCAAAGTAACCAAGGCGATAATAATAATACGTATGTTGTTACGGCAACGCGGTGTTACTATATATGTATCAACAATAATATTGTTATCAGTTCTTACTTTCGATTTACAGTAAAAGTGTTGGGAATTTAGACAATTTTGTTTTTTTTTTATTTTTTATAAATGAAGTATTATTGAACATCGGCATATTATTTCAAAGAACAGTGTGAATAATTTGGAGCAGTTTTACAAACCGAAAAAATGTTTTTTGAGAAAAATACGAAAACTAACGACGCTGAAATCACAATTTTCGCTGTCATTTTGGTTTTAAATTTTTTTTTTAGACAATTAAATATTCAAAATGGTGACGTGACGCCCTTGTACAGACATCGAGGCACTTCAGAGTATCGTAGCACTTTGGGAACCGCTGAAATACGGTATTTAACATTTTTTTTTTTAAATTTTTAACCAGATCGATCAACACAATATGAAAGGTAATACAAAAAAGACGATTAAACATTTTAGCATGCCAATATCTCAAAGACTAATATAGAATATTTAATTGGTTGAATTTAGATATACACGTATGTAGATATAAATATTTTAAAATCGATTAAATAACTATAAATTATGAACCATACTTATAAAACACATTTAATTGTATTTATTTAAAAATGTAATTGTAAACCGGGAACGATTCAAAGCGAGGAAAATGGGGAAACATGCTCGACTTTTTTTATTCGGGAAAACACTCGTTGTACTGTTGACAACACAAAAACTACTTGTTACTAATCGCTACTTGTTAAAACAAAGTCCTATAAATTCGAGTAGTGCTTTACACAGTATCCAACAAATGTATTTGATAAGACGTGTCTGTTATGGTTGTGCTGCCAACTTTATGAGAGTTACACTTACCGTGTGTTAAGACAATGAAGACACATTTTGCTCCGAGTAGGGCAGTATAAAGCGCGGACGTAGAACTTATTTATCTAGATTAGATTCATAAAGACCAGACTATGATCCATATACATGTTTAGTGGCGGACATTTCTCTCAGTGGATTGATTGAGTGTAATCGTAGAGCTTTTCAAGCCATAAATCTGCTCCACACTTTTTATTCATTATTTTTCTCAATACACTGATTTTCTGAATCCGATAAATTAATATTGAATTTGATATCGATTAACTATTTTTCCCTCAACTTCAACTTCAACTTCACTTCCTATGCTTTTCCAATTGCATCCACAAATTTCGTCGTCCACTAATTAGCTGTTCAATTATTCCATAGTTCGGGAGATGTTCTAAGAAGTTCTATTAATTTCAATGTTTTATCTTAATTACACGCAAAATTTATTATGGAAATAATTAAAAAAATTTAATAAAAATTGAATAATGAGTGATTGTGTGCGTTCTAATCAGTTTATTGAATATAAACATAGACTAATTTACAGTATCTCCGAAAACTTAAATTACCTCCGAATATATTATAAATTATAGGTTATTTTTTACTCTTGGTTTACTCTACGTTAGCAGAAATCCCGAATAATTTATATAAAGAGTAAATTTAGAGCGGGATCTAGAATACTAGGATTCGTTTACACTTTTAAACTAAAATAATGTTTCGAGCTCTAACTACCTATATGGGAATCATCTACAGTGAAGATCTTTAAAGTGAACAAATTAGTGGAAATCTCATTCGTACAACATTTATATACCTGCACACTGATAAAAATAACGTATGTTATATCGGGAGGTAGGTATTGGGTAATCATAATCATTAAATCGCGCTAATGACGGATCAAATGATTTTGACTATGACAGATCAAAAAAATTCTCAGCTCTCCTGAGCTCATCATATTATACCTGGTAGATAATTAGTTAATACAAATTCTATTAAGTCGTTATTATTATTTTGAAATTAATAAGCAGGAAAAAACGTGCCCCGTGAAAACCCGGTAGTTTGGTAATTGTTTATTGCTTATATAATGTATAAACGAAAACATATTATGTTTGATTGTTTTTATTGCAATACAATAACAGTAACAATTTTTACAGGGGTTCCGAACAGTCGATGGGATAAGAATCCATCTGCGAAATCGTTGATAAACTTCGATATTTTGTCAAATTGAAAACTACCGCGGAGGACGAAAACAATTGTACAAACAGTACTAAAATATAAATCGATAAAATACATACTTAAAAATATTGCGTTATTAGACAAACGATATAATGTCGTGTTGTGCTTTAAAATTGTTCGACTCAACAGTCAACAAGTTAATTATTTTTGTTGATATTCGAGTCATTATAACTGTTGACCTTTTATGAAGCTTATTTATTGAGGCCATTTGTATTGGCCTCTTGTTGTTTCTTATTGAATTTCCTTCTCCGCCTTCCAAAACTATTAAACGTACTATCATACGCATTTTGAGTTACAAGAGTCACAAATCACCGGACAAATTCTAAAACGTTCCGAGCTTACAATCTATTATACTGGCAGTTGTCTATGCTTGAGCCCGATGCTCGGTAGTTCAACGTGGTATTACTAATGTATATGGAATACGATATATACGGCGTACAATCATGACGAAATTTTTGATTTGAGAAATTTAAAGAGTGTAAAAGACGCCTTTGTGCCTTCGTTACACGTACTCCTAAATTAATTTTGCATATCGTTGTTCGCGCTAATCGTACTTAGAATTACATCTAGGTACTGAAATGCGGTGACTTTTTTTTTCCAAAAGACCAAACATTTCTCGTCATTTGTATCGGTGTCAGTGATTCAATAGAACCATTATATTGGTCTTGTCCGCATTTATTTCTAGTCATATTTTTCTGCCGTTGTCCTAGGGTTTTGACAGAAGTCTTTGCATGATCGTTGGTGTTCATCAGTACGTTAATAAACGAAGTACTCAATATTAAATATATATTTTTGAAGTTAATTATTTTAATAATAAAAAAAAATAATAATAATAATAATTGGTAACTTCTGAAGATATTTTCGTAAAACATGACGTCATTACTGTAGGGACGGAACGAAAGAACATTAATAGTATTGATCGAAAAAATAATAAATCGGAAACGATTTACGTTGTACCTTCCGTCTTGAATATAAATATCGCTCGATTTGAAGCAGCCCTCGGTATAAATCGACCCGAGAGTACAAAATTATTTTGAAACTCCCACGTACACCGAGTGGTAATTCCAATAGGTTTTTTTTCTCTTCGTGGACCACCGATGCATATCATAAAAATATTATCATAACATCGTAAGAACGACAGCAATAATCATAATACGATAAAGTGTTGCTCTACAAATCTGTAGTGCGCAAGAATCGCCTGTAACAGGACATTAAGTCTTAATTTAGTCAATTGATTACTTTACAAAAAAAACCCATACAATATAACAGATACATATTTATTTTTTTTTTTTCATAACCAATTCTTAATTTTCGCATAATCTTACTCGTTTGAAAATTTGAAATGTGATCCTAATTGTCAAATCCTAATTAATCTTAATCGTTTTTAACAGAATATAACAAGATAACAACATTAAATGTGACCTCCCCCCCCAAAAAAAAACACGAATTTACACAACTTACTTTTTTTAAAATTTATACAGGCTGTATAGACATCATAATAATATTTTATGTAAGCTGTATACAAGTGAGAACCCATGTAAGTACAACGTTTGATTTGTGACTTATCGATAAAATAGGGATAATCGCGGTCATTAATTACGACATATTAGTGAATGTCCAGAATATCTGTGTAAGTATCCGTAAACGATATTAGGTTAGTAAGGTATTGTCGTTTAGTATTTTAGCATTTTTTTTTTAAGATTTTATAACGCAGTAAATTCACAACCATACTAATTAAATGAAAACCGTTATGAATCAATTATAAAATATTTTACACAAACTATTTTGTTGACATTTTTATTAAAAGTTTTTAATCAGTCGCTAAAATTATGTACACGGTGAAAAACAGACACACAAGAAGTTCTTATCAATAATATTCCCTAATAAATAATAATTATCGCTACAGACAACAAAGTAGGTGATGTAATTTTTTTTTTTTTTTAAATTAAAACACATTACATAATAGCAATTTACTAAACAGTTCTAGTACACAAAATTATTCATTATTTTTTTTATGTTTTTTGGACATTTTAATTGACAAATACGCTTATGTTCATAGATATATTGTACGAGTTTGTTTTTTTTTTAAACTTTTTTTTAACACGCATGTTTTTTTTTTAAATTTTTGTACAAATTATCGTATAGTTAATAATAATAATATTTTTATTATTATTATTATTATAAATAATTATTGTTAACAAGTGCTAATCTCATTGTTAATACAGTTAAAAAAAAAAAAAAAATCATTTTTACGTCTTAGCAAAATTAAATTAATAATCTACTAAATATATTTTTATAAACATAATTTAAAATTACATTTTATATGATTCTATATATTATATATATATATATATATATATATATATATATAAAACATCGATACGACTTTAAGGGTTTATTGTCTACGATTTCATTTTTTTTTTTTCTATAATTTAAAGATATGTACGTAAAAACCTTGTAATTCATATAATTATTATTATTATTGAAATATCTAAAAAATACAATATATATATATTATTATGCGACGCACGAAACACTGTGTATCTGGAGATTGGGAAATTACGGATGCTAAAAATTCAATACATGTAGAACGTTCTATGTTCGTAGAACGTAATAATGTTATACGAGTGACGTTTCACCGAAGGCGTAGAAAAATATTTTGAAAATGTCATCGTTCAAAATTGCCGGGGAATAAAAACAGAAAGAAAGAAAGAAAAAAATCATTTTTTATCACTTGCAGTTAGAAAACCGCTATTCATTGTTGCGTATAAACAAAAAATTCTTACGACAATATTATTCGTATTCGACAATTTTGTTTACTATGCAATAAAAAAAACGTTAAGCTTTTGCGTAAGATACAAAATATCAATGTGTACAGAAAATGAGAAGGATCGTTTGAACTAGTACTGAACATTTAATCCGGATCGGTCAAAACTTGACATTCAGTGCGTGATCCGTTTTATTACATAATAAATCTTGATTGGCGATCCAGATAATTGAACAATTAAATTTGGTTAATAGTTAAGAAAATCGGAAATGTTTTAAATAATTAACATCATTAAAATTATCCAGTAATTTTTTATGTATTTCATTTAATTTTTCCTCTTTTTAATTCATACTGTTTTTATATCACGTCCAATTATAATATCCGGATTGTGGATTGATTGGGTAATCCGAATCCGGTACACCGAGTTAAACTGATTTTCTGCAGTCCACTTATCCGATTTTGTTTTTTTCTTTTTAATCGGGATTAAAAAACGAATACGATTTCTGTTCAGCACTAATTCGAACAATCAACTTGCCGGTAAAAAAAATCGTATACTATCGTAATATTGAAAAGAGCCGAGAATAGGTTCACACTACACGTATATCTACATAATTATACGTGTTTCGTTATTTATATAGACGGGGCTAAAATTGTATTCAGGTGTCGATGGTAAACTGTGACAAAATCACACATTTGTCCTGAAAAGTCGATGTATCTAAACTGTATAAAAAAAAAAATAAACAAAAAAACTCAAATGGTATATATTATACTGAATGTGGTAATTTTTATATTGTACAGCGTGTACATAGTGCGACGGATTATTTTGCACACACATGTTTTTGAATAATAAAGATATACTGTAACTGTATTATACTAGTGTTATAGGTAGGTATAGATAGAAATTAAAATTAAATTGTGAATTGTCAACGATATAAATTTAATTGTATTGTTCAACTGTAATGTTTCAAGTAGATAAACATATTGCGAGACACAAATCCATAATAAAATCAATACGCTTCGAGAACAAACACAATATTAAACTATTATACTTACAGGCGGGGAGTAAACGCTCAAATGTCCTAAAAGAAGTTATTACATAGGTGTGCATATTGTTATTAAATGATAAATTCTGATTTTTTTTTTTTTTTTTTTTTTTATAAAGATAGAAAACAGTAAAAACCACCATAACTGATTTTAAAACGTCGTAATTGAAAAAATAAACCGTCCAATGTTTGGGAATAAGGCAGTTTACATCGTTTACCTGTCACTAATAACTCGACAGGAACTAGAAAATAGAGCCATACGTCTAACGGGAATGTTACACAGGTTTTTAGTAGGTAAGCTGATTTCCCAATATTCATGTAGCCACATAAGTACTGCGTATTCGCTTAGGAATCTTAGCGTTTTTAGCTAAAACGGTTTTGCAGTAAGTCCATAAGACTTTTTCACAGACAGAACATTATTGTTTGCACGGAAAAACGTCCTATTGAAATGTATTTTAACACACAATCGTAGGAAACGATGGAAAATTTTAAAGTTAGTAATCATCCTTTCTAATATATTGTCAATGCAAGGAGAGAAAATAACGATTGCAACACGAAAAACAGAGAAATCGAACCGCTTATTTTCTCAAGGTCAATTTTTGTATTAGGTATGTTGCTTATTGATTTTCATAATTTAAATTATTCAATATTACCTAACTATTGTGAGAATAATGTTATAGTTAAAGTATATTATAATTTCGTGATAACAACTTTTAATTTACTGTATGAACCTGCATTACGGTTGTGAAATAAATTTCGTATATAATTTCTTAATTTTACATAAATTGCCGAATTTCGTATTGTATATTTTTATTGTGTTCAACAAAAATTATTGCGGTTGGCATAAATTACTGTAGCGTATTGATTTTAGTTCAGAGTTTGCATAATGTTAATTTTTTTCTCCTTTTGTTACAGTTGACACATCGACTTTTAGAAAAAGAGCGATTCCCTCACAGTTTTAATGCTGATCTGATTGGGGATACCTACACTATTCAATATTTTCAAACCGCAAGCATGTATTTTTCGGTACGAATTTCGATATATTATATTGTTAACTTTGACGGTTTGAACCTTTTTCGGCGTAGAAAAAATAATGTTTTCAATGTGTATACCACGCGACATACTCGAATTATTATCATGTAAAACCACTCGACTATCTTTAAAAAAGATTTCATATCGGTTAGCGGCTAACAAATAACAATAATAATAATAATAATAATAATAATAATAAAAAAAACCTCTTTTGAACAGAGCAACTCAAGAACGCTATAGAAATTTTTAGATACCCGTATACCGTGCATCAAAGAGAAAAACGCTTTTGAAAATAATAGAATATCTGTCGGCTCGAGTGGGTATCAAGTTAAGAAATATCGAAATAGAATATTATTAATATCGACGTTTTCGGTACCAACCGTTTTTTAAAATTATCGTGAGGTATAGTAAAACGCCGGTCAAGAAGTTTGGAACGGGTGATTTTTCGTCTAACGTACACAGAAATGTTAACGTAATTTAATTTCAACCGATATTGATCAATAATAGTGAGAGCAGATTTGAATTTTTACCCAAGTTTTGGATTTTCTACACTTTAAATAATTAAAAAAAAAATAACAAATAAACTCGTAAGTTTTTTATTATGTTTTTCCCAAACATTAAGAAGACTGCAAGGAATATCACGAAACTGAATTAAATAGATACAATTTTATTCGTAAAAATAAAAAAAAATGCTGCTCTTGAAAATCGGAATAAAACGTCTGACGGGACCAACGGACACAATCAGACAGAATCTAAAAATATCGTATTTATTAGAATCTACGCAAAAGTTCTATTAAATTGTGTAATCGAAAATCTAAAATGTACGAAAGTACATCGCACGTACCTACGAGGCTTCACTATAGAACAATCACTATCTCGGTTTGTATGAAAACACGTTTAGCGTTTTGAAACGCGTGTTAAACCCGATACACTCCCCGCGCTTGTTTTCGTCACTGGACTGTCTGCCTGGTTTCGGGCTCGGTCAAAAGCAAGCCGTTGTCATTGACCGACGGGCCGCGTAACAGCTTTCGGCATCGCAAGTCGGTCGTTTTTAGGCTGAATTTGTACCGCGATTTAACGCATATTATTTGTACACAAATCGTTCGTTTGTTATTCATTGTCGGCACGCGTTTTAGGATAACGCGATGCATTCTGATCGGTTCTCGCGACAAATGTTATTATTATTTTTTTATTTTTTTTGGTACTCGATCGAATCCGTTACGAAGACACAAGGTTGAAAAATGGCGCACGTACTGTGACAAAATCCAGTACCTTACGAAAACCAGCGGCGACGTCACCGAAGCCATCGCCGGTCGTCATCACAGCTCGCCGCGGGCGATCCGACAACGAAACAAACGCGGGGTGTGCGACGCGGTTCTCGGACGGAAAATCACCGATTCCGTTCGTCGCGGAAAACGAGCAAGTTATTATTATTATTTCGACCCGGCCGTCGAGTCACGGGCCACGTTCAGCGGGTATCAATACGTTTATCCGCGTTGTCCGTCCACACAATTTCGCAATAACAACAATATAAAACGGTACACCGTAAATCGTAATAATATTTCACAAACAGAATTATCTAAAAAAAAAAAAAAACAGTTTAATACAGAACGGGTAAGTATGACTGTAGAGAGCCCACGTCCGTAATGATGTACGAGACCGGACAACCGTTCTTATCGGCGTTTCGCGAGACGCGACATTCGGCGACCGCTCGACGTCACACACGGTGCCTATTGCTAACGCGGTAGTGGCTACTAAGTGAACACTAACGGCGCCGGAGGTCGCGCGGCGGTGGAACGTTAGAAAAGTCGCGAAACGCCGTC